GAAAGTTATATAATAACTATTTATTAAAAATTCAGTAACTATTTATCTATTATTTAACAAAAATTTATAAAACTTGTAAAAAAAAATAATTTATATTTATAAATTATTTGGTATTATTTATATAATAATATATAATTGATTAAATTATATTATATAAATTACATATTATACAGTTTGGGACAAAACTTTTTGTTTTTTTATTTTTTATTATAATTTATTAAATAATTGTTTAATTAAGATAAAATTAAAATATATATAATTTATAATATAATTTAAAAAAAGTTTGAATTTTAATAATAATTAATTAAAAAAATAATCAGATAAAAAAAAATTTTTTTTATTGCAAATGAGTATTAAATGTGGATTTTTATTAGAAATTTAATTCTTAAACATGAATTATCAAAATAAAAATATATAAAAACATTACTTTACTAATTATTTAATATATTGAAATAGACAAAATTATCAAAACTATTAAAATAATTATATTTAAAATTTGAAATAACAAATATTGTATATCTAATTTTACATATAAAAAGTAATGCAATATAATACTACTATAAAGAAAAAATAGAAAACAAGATAGAAACAATTCAATCAAAACATAGCAATAATATATTAAAGTTTAAATTTTAAACAATTTTTTATAATGTTATATATATATATTTATAATATTTTTAATATATTTACAAAAATATTCTAATGAAGTTTAAGCATATTAAAACCTTTTAAAAAAGATAACAAGTCATAAATATAAAAATCCTACAATTGATTTTTTTGTAAAATCCTGTAAATATAAATATAAAAAAATAATCTACAAAAATTTAAGTATACTGTATATATTATAGAAAAAATCAATAAAGTAACAAGAACATGTTTTTAAAAAAAATAAAAAAATAAAATTTTATAACAATTTTTTTAAATGAACAAATTTTTCAATAAAGTCATATACTAAACACCTCTTAATGAAATATCTTGAAAAAAGCAAATTAGCTAAAATTTATTTGTCTCTTATAAAGTATATATTAAAATTTAGATCAAATCATGATATAATTTATAATAATGTAGCTTAGAAATCTTTTGAAATAAGTTCAAGTTCTTCTGCCGCTTCCTTAGATCCTTTTTCTGCCGCCTCTTTCAAATAGTGCATATACTTTTCATTGCTAATAGGATAACCATGCTCTCCATTCAAGAAGAACTGAGAAACCATATATAAAGCATCGGGATCTTTATGAAAAAATACTGCTTTTTTAAGATATTTTATACCTTCATCCTTGGAATAGTAAAACCCTTTGAGACAAGCATGAGCGTACATATACTGGCCTCGCGGATAATTACCTACAGCTGATTTTTCAAGTAATTGTAAAGCTTTGATTTCATCTTTATCAACTCCATATCCTTTGTAGAGATAAAGACCCGCATAATATGCAGCTTTAGGGTTACCATTTTGTGCCAGCTGTTGTAAATGAGGAAAAGCCTCCTTGTATCGTTCTTTATTATGAAGAGATATTGCTTCCTCAATATCTAACAGGTTTGACAATGGCTCGTCTCCCAAGCTATTCTTCTTAGGTACAACAGAAACTTCAATAGATGCAATAGAAGAAATAGAAGACAACGACGTTTCAGAATCATTTCGTTTTAGTGGTTTTAATTTATTTTCCTTATTCCTCAGATTTCCAAGTTGCTTTCGTATTCCTTGAATTGTTGGGCGGTCATTGAAATCGTGGTCCCATGCCTGCTCAATAATTTTTATATACTTCTCCGGTGTATCTTCTGCGAATGGAGAAGGCCTTTTATTTTCTTTGATTTTTTCGCTTACTTGCATATCATTTTTAATATCATCGAATGGAATTTTATGCGATGAAATTTCCCATAGAAGGATCGCAAAGCTAAGTATATATCATCAAATATTATTAGACAATCTTCAGTTGCACATATTTATCCACTTTATTATACTGTACCTGTATACTTCGCATTTATCAGTGTATGGTTGTTTTGGATATTTGATTTTTTCTGGCGCAGTCCATCTAAATTTTATCAAAAACTTCAGTAAATCAAAACCAGAAAAAAATTTTTATTTTTAATTTAAAAATGATAAACCTTAAAGCTTCAGTTGGCAATTTGCTAGTTGCTGCTCCGAATTTTCGACTCATTTCAAAATTTGTAAGTTTCGCATCTAAATTTCTATTGAGTAATACATTTTTGCTAAATCCGAAAAGATCTTGTTAACACAAACTGTGCAAGTGCAAAAGAGATAAAATATACAGGTTTATGCACCTTCTGACGTCTCGATGATAAACGTTGGCACTATTGCAAAAACAAAGACCCGTCACAATCTGTTCTGCGATTTTAAGTTTTATTCCCCAAGGAATCGATAGATTTTCATGTAAATACTCTTGGAGGCTTCCCTTCTCCATCCATTCGGTAACTACAAAGAAATAAATAGTTTCATTCACATTCTGAGCATAGATACCGACACTATAAAAATCAATTAGGTAAGTTAATTATACAGTAATAAACAATCAGAGTTAAATAACTGAGAATAAAGAGCTTGCAATACTTAAAATTTTTCAATATGATCACAGGAGCTAAGCGCTCTAATAATTTTTGCAATTTTTGCAATTTTCCTTTTCTCTTTTTTCAAGTCGACATCTGATAGTCTTTTAACTGCAACTTCGTTTCCGATGTAGAGACGTTTTCGGAGATTATTCTTCATTATTTCCTCCTCTTTCTCTTCATCCTCA